ACGGTTTTCATTGGGAACGGTTTGACTGGATTTCGTCGTGTCATACAGTATGTATGTACTTACTCTGAAGTGTGGCCCTATATCCCTGCGGATTTTAATAATCCATTCTTTCCTTTTGCTTTTTTCTGTAGGGAATTTGTGAAAAGATATTTCCCTATTGTTGTCATACCGGGAATCATTGTTGCACAATGGGACACAACAATGATATGCTGTACCCGTACTTGTACTGGAACTCGCCATCTTGTTTGCGTTCCGAGCCTCGTTTTGAAATTTGATGACGCAATCCGTGAATAAGGAGTATTGGAGGCCTTGTGTAATTTATATCTATTAGTCTACTTTTTTAAAATCTAAATTTACAATTTGTTTCACATTGAAATGTAGATGTCAGGAATCGCTGTTTTGTAAGCAGAGAATATGCCAGGGGCATCAACAATAGTTTCCAACTATCGTTAATGTCCTGACATACTCTACTGACTAGACAGTGGTTCCTTAAGATAACAGAATTGTCAACTTTACTAGGTTTTACTAGATTATAACAAACTTTTTGAAGAACGTAATTGAATCACCAAAAAAAATTAAAATTCAGGGTTTTATTTGATCATCAATTTTGCAAGTTAAGTTTAAGTGCATAGTATTTTGTCCGTCCTGTCTATATAAGTTGTAATACTGCATGCCATTGGGTGAATATAGTTTCCCATCTGTGATCCCAAACTAAATTCGTTGCACAGATACAATTTAAATCTCTTATTGCAGAGGAACAATTAAGGTATTTATATTCCGTCGATACTTCGCGGCGTGACTCGTCGAACTTCCATTTCTTGTCTCAGTAGCGCATGCGTAATTGCCGATTTGTGCTCATAGCGAACAACAACACAGATGATAAAGATCTCTATGACAACCAGAACTGCCAATAGAGCACTCAGTTTCTGTCTTCCGGTGTCCCAAAGAAAAGCCATGGCTATTTTTAGATCTGAAAAAGAGAGAAACAAAGAGTTGACAAAATGTTTCCATCAAATCCTGCAATTTTTGAAAATAATAACCATATCATCAAAAGTATATAATTCGTATATTTTCGACAAATAGACCTTTCCCCTCTATTCATGATATCAGCGTATTAATTCTAATTTTCAACATTTTCCAATAGTAATTTGTTATAACAAATAATGCTTGATAAAACAAAAATTATTCTGATTATTTTTTTTTATAACAAATTACCAATTTGTTAATCTATCATAACAAATTAATAAAAGTTAAGATACTGTTCTGTTGTCCTAATTCACTTCCGTTGAAAGGTTAAAGTTTGTTTTGAATAGGCAACAACAGGATGTAATAAATTGTCAATCGATAAGTCGGGTTTTTTAAAGTTTAAGATTCATTGTAAGTCCAAAAATATGAATTTCACAAAAATACATTTTAGAACAAATTTCGTAGATGGAACACATTGAATTTTACAAAAAATTTTCCTTAAAGTGAAACGAACTGTATTTTACAAATAATTGTCCAAAAAATTACTCACATACAAACACACTCACATCTAATCTTTGACAACTCCGCCCACTTTGGTACTGACCAGCCAATTAAATTAAGGATATAAAATTGCATGAACAGGGGGAAAATGTATGACATTAATTTACAACACTGAAATTAGGTAGAGCTAAGCATAACAAATTCAAAGAACACGATCTTAAGATCTAACCATAAAGTTGATAACAAGTATGAGTAAACGACATTGATATCGTGAAACAGGAAAGAGATGTCAAGAATTAGATATTGGTAGCATGTGCAAAAATGCCTTTCCTAAAAATCAAATGAAAACGATTAATTTTCAACTACAGATGTCAGGCAAGACCGAAAAGTAATTAATAGAACAATTATAAAAATATATTCATAATTAATAATTTGTCATTTAGAAACCCTTATAACACATAAGCATAACAAGGAAGTGCAACCCACTCATCCACCCCAATAATGCCAATATATAAAATGCATCCTTCTGTTGCTGCTATAATTTTTTTTTTTTTTGGAAATTTTGTATTCATCCATACATGCTTATACTTTAATTTACCAAACTGTATATTAACTATCTATGTTTTTTTAATTAGTTAATTAGATACCAACTTTTTTTTCTAAACCAATTTTTTCAGTACCAAATTTTCTGCGTACAATTCTATAAATCTTTAAATAAATTATCACTCTACGTACTCTATCAAAAAAGTGGGGGGGGGGCAGCTCTTCTATAAACATTTTCAATAGTACATGTAACTGTTATGTTTGGAAGAAAAGTTCACCCCCACCCCCACCCCCCTTGTTCCTACGTACGTGCCTGTGTAACAAATATTTGAGAATACGGCAACTGCAGGATCGAATTTCATTTAAATTTCTACTTTGAAATACATTTTCTTTGTAGTCGCTGTCAAATACCGGTACTTAATTTTAAAACATTGTCACGGCCTTTTTGATGTTCTGCATCAATTCAGTCTCTATATATATATATATCGTGTAATCATCTTTCTTTTCTGTTCTGTATCGATTGGCTTTGTAACTCATTCCGAGGAAATCAATGGACCACAAAGATAACGTATAAACATCTAAACAAAATTCTTTCAATCTTTGTATACAATCTCATTATAAGAAAACATAATTTTGATAAATATTTACAATTAATGTATGTCTGCATGAATTTCCACTACAGCTGAGGAAAAAAGATTTTATAAATACCACAAACAATTATTAGAATCTCCTTAATTTGAATATACAATATTCTGTGTCTGAAATGTAAAATAATGTACATAGAAAAAATACACTCTTACGTAAAAATAAATGGTTTTCTTACCTTACTACATTTGAAAAATTAATTGTGTCAACTTCGAAGATGATGTCCTGCAACCATTTGTTTTGATTCCATCACTGTGACAGCTTACCGCATCGCAGTATTTTGTCGATCAATGGATACTTGCTTTTCAGCAGTTAGGAGACGAAAAATCGATATCATAAAATATTAAGCAGACAGCGTACACAGACTTCATTTTGAGAGTTTAAAACACAGCGTCCATATGTAGTACGAATATACTAGTAAGATCAGTTTCAGTCAGAGGCGCTTAGAGAAACAGGGTGGGTGGGTGTTAAATCGCGTTGAAATTATTTGAAAAATCGAATGAAGGGCCCTCGTGCTTTAAAAATTTTGGAAATATACCACCAACCCACCCCTCCCCTTTATAAACTTGATTTTATTGTAATCAAGACGAAAACTTATCAGTTTAATTTTGTTCATTAATTCAGTACAAACATGTTAATCCTTTGACATAAAGATAGTTTTTGAACACAGATAAATTCAAATTTATATATTATTAATATATACATGTAAATGATTGAATGTACATTCAATGCATGGACATGCATGATTTTTTTCGAGGTTATATCGATTATTATTGCATTGCATAAATTTATATAGCATTCCGGGATTATATGTTGGATTATATTATTGGTTTTCTTTCTTATGTTGTACCTTACGTAATTTTATATTTTTAGAATGTCGAAAAATCCACAACTCTTTTATGTCATTGTCGAAAACGTGGATACGTCTTCAATCGAATATTGTTTTGTTTTTGCCTTTTCTTCGAATAGTTTGAATTGTTTCCAAAAGTGATGATATTTTTTTAGTTATTATATCGAAAGAACGAATAATAACTGCTAAAATGTTTTGAGGAAATCATCGTTTTTGAAAATCTAAATTGTCAAAAATCCATTACAATGCATCAGCATTTTCAGAAAACATCGGAAAGTCCCGCAGCTATTAATAACTTGCTTGGCTGATGTCAGCATTGCATTCGAGAGCGGAACCTAGGAAGAAGAGGGTGATTATTTTGTTGGGAAATCGCTTGCTATTTGCATTGTTTTAAAAATACATGTTTTTGACTGCTTTTTAACATGTGTAACGTTAGATAATCTAGCAAAATCGGAAGTAAACACAACAATCATTCCAAAGGTTTTCGATCATTCTAACGATTATTGATAGTCTATAGATCGAGTTGTTTTTTCTCCAAATGATTTTTGTACTAAAAGATAAATAAATACAATAAGTAAACCTGAACGTTACAGTAATGTCCTGTTCTACATTTTTCCTTATCTGATAAATGTGCACACATCTGTTAATTTTGTGATGATTTAAAGAAAGACTGAATTTAATTTGTTAAAAATAAAAGGTAATTTTGCAGCTAAAATTTTTATGTCAGATGCAAAAAGTCAATGCATTGATTCCTGCTTTTATAAGCTGGTCTGTTAAAAGAGGTAGGTTCACTTACTCCATATAATGGCCCTGTCAATATACTACTTATCCAACCAAGTCCTAACGTCCCATTTCGAATATCAGCATAAAGTAGAGACATTGCTTTCATTTCCTATATAAAAAAAAAAATTCCTCTGAGAGTCCAAGTTTGGAAACACAGGCGTTGTGAAACTGTCATGTTCTTGATTTTTTAAGAAAATGGGGGAAATTGAGCATCTTCAACTTTTGCTAAAAATATGAGCCCACCCTGCGATCAAAAAAATTTCATGGATTAGAATCTTCTGAAACAGTTCTTTCATTATATAATTAAACATTTTAGATTAGAGGTTAGGGGCTATGCAAAATATTTAAAAACAGTTTAAAATTTTGGTCATTTATAAAGAAATTTTCTAGATTTGAGATAAATGACGAAATTCATGACGTCATAATACATGGACAAGAGAAAAAATTACGTCATTTTTATTTGATATGAAGTCACCAAGAGTCCAAGTAAAATATAACATAGCGTATTTGTCCGTCGTCGTCCGTCGTTCGTCGTACGTCGTTCGTCGTCAATCGGTCGTAAACTTTTGAACATTTTTAGCTTCTTCTCTGCAACCACTGAACCAATTGCAACCAAATTTGGCACAAAGCATCTATGGGTAAAGGGGAACAAAAATTGTGAATTTCATTATCCCTACCCCCCTGGGGCCTGGGGGGTGGGGCCAAAACCACTAAAATTAATAAAATCTTTAAAAATCTTCTTCTTAACTCCTGGACATCAAGCAGTCAAACTGTTTGCATGATTGTAATCAGCATTGAGTCCTCTATCAAAATTGTGAAATTCATGGCCCTGGGGTCAGGGGTTCTTGTGCTAGGGCAGGGCTAATAAGTATATAATGAAAATGCATTATTTCTTTGAAAATCTTTTTCTCTGCTCCTGAATATTAAATAAACTAACTAAGTACATAGTTATAATGAGCAAGAGTGCCTCTACCAAAATTGTGAATTTTATGGCCCCAGGGTCAGGGGTTCTGGTGTTAGGGTGGGGCTCTATTTATTATAAAGAGAAAAGACATGAATTCTTCGAAAATCTTCTTCTTTAATCCTGGGCATTGAAAAAACTAACTAAGTATATAGTTATGATGAACAAGAGTGCCTCTACCTTTGTGAATTTTATGGCCCCAGGGTCAGTGGTTCTGGTGTTAGGGTGGGGCTGTATTGATTATATAGTGAAAATACATGAATTCTTTGAAAATCTTCTTCTCTGCTCCTAGATTTTATATAATTTAACTAAGTACATAGTTATGATGAGCAAGAGTGCCTCTACCTAAATTGTGAATTTTATGGCCCCAGGATCAGGGGTTCTGGTGTTAAGGCGGGGCTCTATTGATTATATAGTGAAAATAAATGAATTCTTTGAAAATCTTCTTCTCTGCTCCCAGATTTTATATAATTTAACTAAGTACATAGTTATGATGAGCAAGAGTGCCTCTACCAAATTGTGAATTCTATGGCCCCAGGATTCTGGCGTTTGGGTGGGGCTGTATTGATTATACATGTATAGTGAAAAACCTTAAGTTAAATCTTTGAATATTTTCTTCTTTGCTCCTAGGTTTTAAGCAGATGAACTACCTATATAGTTATGAGTAATCCCTAATCTTCAAGAATTGTAAATTTCAAGAGGGGGGGGGGGGGGGCTGTACTTATATACTGAAAATGAATGAATTGTTTCTAATGTGCTCCTTGGTATTAATCAAATATTTTTGAAAAGCAAGGATGCCTTTCCAAAAATAGTGCAATGTGAGGATCTATGCCTAAGAGTAAGGGGTTCATGTGTGGTAGTGGCACTACTGATTATTGCTTAATATTACTGATTAGTTGAATTGCATTTTTTTCCCCTACCCTGCCTATGGATCAAATTCAATCACTGGAAAGTTGTTGAATAATGCTCAGGTGACCTATAAGGCCCATGGGCCTCTTGTTAATATTTCAATGCATCTTTCCACCGCAGGATTTATTGATATTCAAATTATTTGAATTTTTATTTTGAAAAAACGCTTTTCCCCATAGACTTCAATGCAATCTTTGTTAATTAACTACTGCTTAATTAATGACATTTTTAAACTTTCTCACGGACAATCCTTTTCCATAACAAAATGCTTTAATATAATATCAGAGTATTATGTACTTGACAGACATTTAAGGGTAGAGAATGGGGTCCCATTAGGGATGGAAATCCTTAAACGAGACTGCTGATATTTCTTTTCTTTCAACTTAATTTTTGTCTTTAACTTACCTCTTTTTAAGTATTGTTCAATAAGAGACCATGCATTTGCACATGAAATCAACTAATCATGAGAAATAAAAACCACGTATGCAAGTGATAATTTGGTATTGTTCTTTCTGACATACATTTCATTTTATCATATAAAATCTGCAACATGATGCGAATTTTATTTGATTGAATGAATTATGTTAGTAAGGGCAGTATGTACTGTTGTATTAGTAAGGCAGTTGACTATTGACAAGGTACATGTAAAGTCATCCCGTTTATCATAAAGCTTTGTTTATAGCCTTATAATAAAGTCGTTTCTAGTTAAATTTCCAAATATAAAACAGATGTGTTCGAGTCTGTGGCATCGACACTTAATCAGGTTAACCATCTTGAGGGAATTAATTTTTGCAAGTCTTGGTTTCAATTAGCCAACAGCTTCATAAAGTGAGACTTTCAAATCATAAGACATGTGCAAAATATATATTTTCCACTGTATATTACAAGACTGTTCTCTCTGTTTTCCTTATTTTCTTTTTAATTTAAGGTAGTCCAAATTAAGACTTTATTCCCCCTTCAAATTGAAAGATATGGAGAAAAAAAACAAACGGTATTCAATATCAAAGTCCATAAAACAATACAAAAAAGGAGCAGAGCAAACCACGACCTCCAAAACATTAGAGGTGGGAGCAGTTGCCACGGATGAGTGAGCAGCCCCTGTCGACCGGTCACACTCGCCGTGTGCTCCTTGTCATGATCGGGAAATAACGGAAAATCCATCTTCAATTCAGTGTATAAATAATGGACAAACAATTAGCATGAAAAATGTCAGTCAACATGTGACTCAATGATGAATCACACAAAACTTTTAAAAAAATCCTTAAGGTAGACTGGATTCTTTTCATATTTTTTATATCTCAAAATTCATGAAATTTTCACAGAATCAAGAAAACAATGAAGGATATGGAGATAACAAACAGTATTCAATCTCAAAATCCATAAAACAATACAAAATAAGAACAGAGCAAACACTGACCCCCGAAACATCAGAGGTGGGATCAGGTGCCATGGAGGAGTGAGCATCCCCTGCCGACCGGTCACACCCACCGTGTGCTCCTTGTCATAATCAGGAAATAATGGAAAAAATCCGTCGTCAATTCAGTGTATAAATAATGGACTAACAATTGGTAAGAAAAACGTCAGTCAGCATTGACTCAATGATAAATTGTATTTGCTGACAAGGTCATTGTATCGACCATAGAACTTACGAAATGATAACTTTAACGAGACTGCTGATATTCTTGTTTCGTCAACTTGCTTGTCAATAATTTACCTCGTTTTCGAAATTGTTCATACGTAGAGTTTACTCTTGCGTATCGAATCAGCTGAGATACATATATATTATTACAGTGAAAACTGTCTAATCCGACACCTGAAGAATCCGTCACACTGTGAATTCCGACGTTAAATTT